TAGTTCGAAAGTAACAGAATGCAATGCAAATCCTAGCCAAGACTTCGATATGATGCGTGAGGCTCGAACATGAAGCCAAAGATAGGAACGCTGATTACCTTCCCACACCCCCTCACAAAAAAACACGCATCTCCTGAAGCTAATGAAGCGTGCTTTAATCTCTTGCCAGATTGTATAGGAGCTAGAAGGCCTCAAGAATGCCCTGGTATGTGGCGTTGCGTGGAAGCATATCTAGGTCTGGTTGCTGGGCATTAGCTACAAACTGCGAAAAGTTGAAAGAGCAGAGTAGTGGGGCAGCCCTTCTTAGTAACAGCAGCAGTTGCAACAATAAGAAGCAGAGCAAGCATACTCCGACTACCCACAACAGTGCCAGCAAGCAACAGCGGCAGTAGCAAGAGCACCAACAACACGCCAACGATTCTAGACGCTGACATACGCTTAGAGTTTGCTTGCGTCTGCCATGCAAGCGATTGGACCTTAATGATTTTATGCGAAAGATGCTGCACAGAGTTCTGGCCCGCCAGTGCGCCTTCGGGCAGGCGCAGATTGTCCGCGCGTTTGCTGGACGCCCGGCTCACGCAGGGATTTCTCAAACTATTGTTTGTATTATAATGCTCATAGGCCAGATTTCCGTAAGTGGCCGGGCAAAGGAGGCTTTCTGGGCTTCGCAGCCTTGGTAGTGACAGCTCTTGCCAGTGCTGGCTTCTCCTGTTGTTGCGCAATCTTCATGAACTCAGTTAGGCTTCGTCCTTCAGTATATAGTTGTAATGCGAGTTGATGAGAAGCCTGCCTTGTATTGTGGAATTACGGCACCGTGCCCAGGCCATTGTAGACGCCGGAAATGCATGAAGGCGAAATGCATCAAAGCATCCCTAGGTTGAAGGGTATACATGTTTTAAGGATATAGTCCCCCTTAAGTAGATGGAATTTGGCTTTGGATATATTATAATAAGATCCCCCTATACCCCATATTCTATCTACTTAAGGGGGACTATAGCACCCCAATAATGGAAATTGCTTCTTCACCATTGAGCGGAAAGGTCCAACCCATGCTGTTCAGTCGCTTTTTTCCATTCGTACTGGAGACCAGCATGAAAAACTATTATCTGATTAACTCAGGTTCAGCACCACAGCGCCCAGCACCGCAGCGCCCCAAGCGCAACCGGCGGCGAGCAGCCAAGGGCGCCGATGTATGGGGCGAGGAGGCACTCAGAAGACGATAGCAGCGGTGGTGGGTGGTGGTGGCGACGGCGGTGGTAGTACTAGTCTCGCTCCTATGAGGCTGCAGTAGCTGCAGCTGCAGATGATGCTCCTTTCCTGTTGAGTTGAGTATTGTGGCGGGTAGGAGTAGTAGAAGCAGCAGCTGGAGTAGCAGTAGAACAGGCAGTAGCAAGTGTTGCATGAGACTGGCCTCAGAGGCACAGGCACGAATCTGCTTTCATAGGCTAGATGCGCGTGAGCGCAATGTCACGCAATGAAACCCCTATGGTGCTGCGAAGAAACTGTAAATTTGTATTGTTGGCCAACATATTATACCCTACATTCCCGCTGACCCTTGTATTGGCCAGCAAAAATCTACCTGCAGCTTCGTACTTGCGAGTTCCAGCTTTCAGCTACTCCATAGCCTACCAAGCATGAAGCCCAGAAGCCCTGTAAGCCCCATACTTCCTAAGCCAGTACCTTACCTAATTCATGCGAGTAGCAATATTTCATGGGAATACCACAGTCCCCAATAGAGCGTAAGATTACAGCATGTTTTGGGGCAGTATTTCATAAGAAGACTCCTATGTTACTTGGTTCAACCATCAAACAAACACACTTCATGGGGCCATCTAGGATGAACCTTTAACCCGAAACCTAAAAAGGGGTGACCTTAATTAATATAGACCCCAAGATACACCATAACCCTTATAACAGGGACCCCCAACATGGTACCCCCCAGATATGGGAAACCCCCTATTATGTGGCCCTGTGAGGATGATGAGAAGCAGAGCAAGAATTTCCGCCAGCTGCGGCCATCCGTTGCCGACCGCAGCTTTTCCAAGGATCTCACCAAGCTTTGTAAGGGGAATCTTGCGTGGAGGGACAGGATTTATAGGGTTTATTAGGTTTAGGGTTTAGGACCTAGAGGGTCAGGGGGCTTAGTAAGTGGGTTAGTGATAGAATAGCCGCGTTTACTACATGGCTTATAGGGCTTATACGTGTGCTTATTAAGTCTCCCTGACCTTCAAAATGTGCTTCGTAAGGGCGCTTTCACAGAGTTTCTATACTTGTGGGACTCGTGGGGTATCAGTAGGACAGAATTGTACTATTCGGGATTATAAAGGCTAAGCCCTAAACCCCAAACACTGTATAGGTATTATTACGGGGACCCAGTCCCGAATTTCCTACTAGCAATCAGTAAGTACTGCATGAGCCTTCCCACTACATGCTTTGCATGGGGACATGAGGTTGATCATTTGAGGTCATTTTTAAATGAGATTACTATGAGCCTTCCCCTTGCTGGGCGGGCCTCTGCAAGCGAAGGCCTTGTTTATAGATCAGGCCTGGTTGTTGTGGCTTCTTATTCGGGTAATTTAGGCTCACTGGTTGGGTGTTGAAGATGGGGCAACGGGCGTTCTATGAGCTTCTAGAGTTTACATGCTGGGAAACTACGAGCAAGAGAATTTGGTTTACTAGCTGCCCCGAAGGCGATTGTGTTCCGATGTGCTTTCACTCTGGCTCAGAGCATTTGCCACAAAAACCTTCCCGCCTGAAATAATCGGCCGCGCACCACTCCTCGTACCCCGTGCAGTCGCTGCTACTTCAGTCTTTAGGTGCTTGCACTACCTTCCACAATTAGTTCCTTTGTTTGTGTGCCAGGCCCAATATAGATAGTGAGTACTTTTTATGGCCCGTAATATATCCCTACCACAGACTGTCGCGGGGTAGAGGCAGCATCCAACCCATTCCTGAATCACGTGGCTTCTGAGTTTCGAGGCGGGCCCCCTGATCATCAGAGGTAGATGAAGTCCTGCATGACCCCAAAAATGCCAAGTACCATATGTACTTCTAGGGTTGTTGTAGATAGGATGATGCTGGATTGTTTCCATCAGCCCCATGTAGGTTATACTACTCACCCAAGGCAGAAGCGACAGTCCTACTACGGAAACCATACTTTGTGTTATGTATGTACTTTGATCCTTAGCTGCTAAACCTTACACCCTAAACCCTAAACCTTCAAAACCCTAAACCCACAACCTAAAAAACACACAGACCCAAAACCTTAACAAACCCCAAACCCTAAACCTTAAAAAACCCACCAAACCCTAAACCTCAAAACATCTAAACCCTACACCTTACAACCCCCCCAAGCCCCAAACCCCAAACTCTTTGGGGCAGCTTTGACTACATGGTCAGCAGGATGCGCAGGAGACCCGCGAGACCCTGCGCTGGAGCCACGGCGTGGATGTTTGGAGATATAGACCCTTTGGGGTTTAAGGCTTAGAGATTGGGGTGTAACATTTAGGGTTTGGGGTTTAACGTTTAGGGTTTGGGGTTTAAAGTTTAGGGTTTGGGGTTTAGGGTTTAGGGCTTGGGGTTTAAGGTTTCGAGTTTGGTGTTTAAGGTTTAGGGGTTGGGGTTTCGGATCTAAGGTTTAGGGTTTTGGGTCTCTAGTCTCGCTTAAGTAGGTAGAATATGGGGTATAGGGCAATTCCACATTCTATCCATAATATGGTGGCGGATGTGGTTGCAGCTTGCACCCATAGACCGTTTCTTAGCCCATTCGCAACCATCCCTCAACCGCAAGTAAGGCACCGCAAGGAGGTGCACCACACACAGGAGGTCAAGGATGCGCTCATCGAGGTGAATGCTTCTACTGAACAGTCCAAGTATTGGTGGGACTCATGGGATGCGGAGTGGGATGAAGGATGGGACTGGGAAGAGACTTGCTCCTTTTTGAAGTTGTTTCTTGTAGGCCGGTATGTGTAGAGTAAGAAAAAAATTTCTGCAGGTTTTCTATCCATGGTAGCGATTGGGATTCAAGGCTTTGTTTATACTTCTACTGATCTTGCTGTCTGGGAGCCTCTGAAAGCAAGTCCCAAAGCAAGGATAAGTGGCGGAACATTCATCCAGATGGCACACCGGCTGGGCCGTCAGAGATTGTCACTGGCAAGGATGGTGGTCCCTCAAAAACCCTTTTTAGAGGCGTTCAAACGTGGTATTCCAGTCTTGACCTCTGTCTCTTCTTTGAGGCCTTCTTGGGGTAATTCGGCTAGAACCTAGAGATGGCAGGTAGCATGGTAGCCGGCGTGACGCATAGAATCTGACAGAGCAGCCAGGATGATCCCCGGCGACCGCGAGGCCCCCTGTGGCCGCGGTACGACGGGGATGGCTATCAGCCCGTAGCAACTTTGAACCACTCGGAGCTTGTAGCAGCAATCGTGGCTGCTCGCAACGGGCAGGCCGAAATTACCACGAATAATACTATCCCCGAAAGAAAAGGGTTTGAGGTTAAGGTTTATGATGGTTTATGGTTAAGGGTTTCGGGTTTGAGGTTTGGGGTTTGGGCTTGAGATTAGGGTTGAGGGTTTGGGTTGGGGTTTAGGGTTTGTGGTTCTGGTTTAGTGTCTGAAATTAGGAGTTTCATATTGTGAGCACGTGACTCGTGAAACAGCACCATCCGATGCAAGAAGCGCAAACCACGAGTCCAAATATTACCTCATGGCTTCAAGTAGCAAGACACGTGGCAGTCGTGATAGAGTTTATGAGAACGTGCATTTTTAAGAAACACCTTAAACCCTCAACCCTAAATCATGAACCCTAAATGGTAGTTTCCCAAAATAAGGGGTCCCTAATATAGACCCCAAAGTACTATAGTCCTTATTATAGGGACCCCCCAAAAGGGTACCCGTAATTTTGGGAAACTACCAAATCATGAACCCTAAATCCGAAAGACTGTAGACCAGGCGGACGAGCTGCAGTGGCAGGCACTTTGCCGTCGCGCGGAGCTGGTTGCGATGTCCATGATACTCTCCCATATAACTTGGTCGTGTAGGGTTCAGGGCTTAGGTAACAGGTTAGGGCTTCATTCCATAAACCTTAGAGCCCCAAACCTTAAACCTCAAACCCTAAACCCCAAACTCTACACCCTAAACCCTGATTAAACCCTAAACTCCTAAACTTTGAGGTGAGGATTCTCCTTGTCTCTGGTCGTCTAGGCTGTATATACAACATGAAGACGAACCAAATCATCTAAAACCCGAAATCCTGCAGTAACACCGTAACATGTGGTTTGGGGATTGCGGTTTAGAGTTGGGGGTTTAGCGCTGAGTCAGGTATCCAACACAGGGCTCAAGCTTAATGAAGCCTCAAGGTACCAGGGCAATGAGGAATGGATTTTTTCAACCTTCGGGCCTCGGTTCTCAACTCCTTCAACGGGTTTGTATAGGTGATTAGGGGTTGTGTATAGGGGTTAGGGTTTAGGTTCTAAACTCCTTAAAAAAGGGGTTGGAAAAGGACTACTCTATGGGTTATTAAGGGGGGCTTAACATGTAAGCTGTAGTCTAAAGTCATTAAAAGGGGTTACAGAAGGGATTATAGATAGAATATGGGGTATATGGGGATCTTATCATGGTCTCGGGGAATCCCATGTTTTATCTACTGAGGGGGGTCTACATTGTATAAGGAGGAACTGAGAATTGGAACAAGCACTCCTCGTGGTGCAGTCGGATTTCTCATACGAGGCTCATCGGGTACATTTCCAAAATTAGTATAACATAGGTTTAAGCCTTGGCTCATAACAAGTGATGACCTCGGGTTGCAAAGCTTTTTTGGAACAAGGCTCATCAGGGCACATGCGTGAGCCGCCACATGTCTTTTGTAATGGTGGGGGCAACGTAGCATTGAAGTGACGGCCACCTCATCTTTAGCTGTGACAACCCCGCCACACAATGGCCCTAGAATCCCTCCATTTTGCCCCTAACATTCCCTAAAACTTAAGAGGACCCCCGCCCCTATGGAGAAGACTCCTGTTTCCATCCAGGACCCCTGCAGAGCTGTTGGCGGTTGCGCGTTGCGTAGCCGAGCGACAATCAGGTCAGCTGCGGCTTCTGTGGAAGATCGCAGCTTTTGCGGTGGAACATCTGAGCTCCTTCACCGTACCTGGGCTCCTGTGTAACCCAGAGGGTCCAGGTAGCCGATGCTTAGGTACTCAGGTGTTGGGTAATAGGAGTTTTAGTTCAGATTTTGGGTAAGTATATGATAGTGGGGTACTTGGACCCTTACGGTCATGGTCTGTTTAAGTGTTTAAGTACCAGCAAGAATGCCTCCGACTGTGGAGGTGGAAAAAGTCCTCATCCAATCCAAAAGCCCTTCTTAACTGTTGTTTTCCCACATGAGCTATGGTAAAACCTCCTTAAAGGCGGCTCCATAGGGAAGTAGTTATAGGGTTATAAAGGGGATACTAGCGCTTTAGACTATGGCTCAGATGTTCCTATAGTTTCCCGTCTAGGTGCAAGATTTGGCATGCCTTGCAAACGTGTATTCGTCCATCGATTCTGTACATCACGGAATGCTCAACGTCGTTGCGCTCATTCTGGCACGCCCAGATGATGAGCGTAAACTGGATGAAATCTTGGCTGTGGATGTTCTGGCTTCTTTCGCCCGCGCTAAGTATCCCCTGCCGCTGCTGCTGACAGAAGCGCGGAAGGCCTTAGCTGACTGCGAATCCCTGGCACCAGCCCTGGCTCTTAGTGCCCTGCAAAGCTTTGCAACGCTGGAGGCCTTAGATGGAGAGTTACTGGCAGCCTTTCTGCCTCGAGCCCTTGGCTCTGCAGAAAGCTCAAAACCAGGCTTACAGCAGGTATGTTCCACCGCTTCTTGGGCTTGGGAAGCATTGTCTCAGCTGGAGAAGGTGGGCGTGGAAAGTGCATTCATGCCGCAGGAGGTAGAGGTAGAGCATGCCAACGAGCACATGGGCAAGCTGGCAGTGAGAGAGACGCCGTTGCCTTCGATGACCGGTCAAGAAGCGTTGGACAGGATTGCTCAGATTCTCAGCAATTCGCTTCGCGCCTGCGACCTTCGGATGTTGCGGCTCATCCAGACGGCAGATGGAACATCGATGTGCATTCTGGTGGCAGATAGGCGGCCCGTGCAGCTACAAAGCAAAAAACTGTTGGCATCCGCATTGCTTTTGACGCACGAGAAGGTAGAGGCCTACTGCAGCCTGGCTGGAGAGCTGATGGCTGCAGCAACATGCTCAGCCCTGCAGACTGCATGGTCGGTCGAGCAGCAAGTGCTGTGGCTTCAGGTGGCTGTGGAAGCAGCAGAAGCTGCCCCGACAGTCTCAAAAACTGAGCTAGTTTTGCCGTTGCTGAAAGCCTTTCCTTCACATGCGCCGCATCTGCTGATCCCAGAGGCGGCGTGCTTGGCAGGCATGTTCCCGCGACTCCTCATGCTGTGTCCTGCCTCACAGGCAGCAGTTACCGAGTCCAGCATCGCGCTTGCAGAGGCTGTCCGTCCTGACCTTTTCCGCTTGCGGGTGCGCGAAGCTCGTCAAGTGCTCGAGGCGTATCTCCAACTGCCCGCCTTGCTGACAGAGGCCCAATCCCAAGCACTCCAGCCATACGCGTCTGCCTTGTTCCAAAGTATTTTGGATGGCTTCCCTGTCAAGCTCAAGTCCGAGGGCGTCTTCCACCGCCGTGCAGCCTGCTTGTTGGTAGGGAAGAACAGATGAGCTCAATGTTGCTACGTAATATGTGTCTCTTCGTCCTACCCACCATGCTCACCACTGTGCTACGTCCTCCCAATACTGCTGTTCTCACTCCGAGTCTAGTCCGGCAGACCTGGGTCTTCCTCCTTGGACTCCAAAACGAGTGCGGGTATAGATCTTGATTTATGCAGCTGTTTGCCATTCTGCGCATGTCATCTTTACTACTACTACTACTACTGCTGCTACTACTACTACTACTACTACTTCTACTACTACTACTACTACTGCTACTACTACTACTGCTACTACTACTACTACTACTGCCTGCTGCTAGTACTGCTACATACGATTACCAGTCTAGTTAGAGCAAATTGGGGGCTTGCCTGGACCTTGTTTTGGAGGGGGTAGTACTGGGGGTGTAAACCCTGTAGAAAACCTATACCCTAAACCCTACAGTATCCTACAGTACAGGATCCCATAACCGCAATTAATTGTTTGCCAGGTGGAGGACAGCCGAATGCCTCGGAACTGGCGGCCTGGTGCCTCAACCTGCTTTTGCAGCTACCCCCAATGTGGGGTTTAAGGATTGGGTTTAGAGTTTAGGGATTAGGGTTTAGGGTTTCCATAGGTTCCCCAACTTGGGGTAAGTTCGAACATAGGGTTTGTATTAAGGTCCCGCCATTTTTTGGAAACTACCATGAAAGCGGTTTATGGGGATTGTATGGGGTATATAGGTTTGGGGGCTGTCTAGGGGTGTAGCAAAAATCAAGACTGAAGAGAGTCAAAAGGCAAAGAGCACGGAAAATTCAATAAGAACTGGTTCATACACGGCTTGGTAAGGATACTGACCAACATAAAATCCGCGTATAGCGGGTCCCATGTACGATCTACCCGACATGAACTCTGGGGTGTTGGCATGATATCCTGATAGCGTGAGGCTTTAGCAGGGTTATTCCGGAAGTGTAGGTGCGCTGTGCTGTCCAATGAAGACCTGGTGCGACTCTCCGGCATCCAAGTTCCGGAAACTTGGTCAGCCAATGAGTGGAAAGAGTGATTGGTCAGTAAGACTAACCCCCTCCCAATGCTTATACATTAAAAAAAAGATACTTCAAACCCTAGTCTAATAGAACTCGGCCCCTACATTGAAATCGCAAAGCACCATCATCTATAAACCCAAGTGTCATGTCATGTTCCTCACAATTCTTGTCTGTTTCTTCACTGTTCTAGTTTGAATGGTCCCTACATTCGCCAGATAATAGGACATTTTCGGCGTCTTTCCATTCTTTCCGAAGTATCTAGGCGTCTGGCACCCAACAACCTACATGCCCATGCAGAATGCCAATACTCCCTGTAAACTCTACGCCTGGATCAGATTCAAAGCCCCAAGCCAAAATCTTAAACCCTAAAAAACTCAACCCTGAGACCCTAAAACCCTAAACCCCTAAAACCCTAAACCCCAAAATCCTAAACCCCTAAACCCTAAACCCTTAACCCTTCGAGAGCCAAGGAAAGCATTTGGGAGCTCTTGGCTGCGGAGTGCCGAGAAGCCCTAACAGCTGCAGGCCTTGGTCAGGCCATGACATGGGAAGCTTCCGATTTAGGGTTTAGGATCTTAGGGTTTTAGGGTTCAGGGTTTTAGGGTTTAGGGTTGTAGGGGTTTAGGGTTGTAGGGGTTTAGGGTTTTAGGGTTTAGGATTTTAGGGTTTAGGGTTTTAGGGGTTTAGGGTTTTAGGGTTCAGGGTTTAGGGTTTAGGATTTTTGGGGTTAGGATTTTAGGGTTTAGGATTTAGGGTTTAGGGCTTAGGATTTATGGGGTTTAGAGTTTGGAGGGCTTGAGGGTTTACGGGGTTTCGGGTTTGAAGGGTTAAAGGGTTTAGAGTTTGAAGGGT